GCTCCCCACTAATAGATGGAGCGGCCCGCTAGGCAAAGCCTCAATCCCGGTGGTTCTCTTACCACCACGGGGATGGAGGTCTTGTATAAAAAGTTGTTTATGGTTTTGATTTTTTTTTAAATACACAAAGTTATAAAAAAAAACAAAAGAAAATATTTTGTTGTACATCTTTGAAAGATCTACAACCCTATATTTTTATTTTATTTTTTCTGTTTTTGTTTTAGCCCTTAAAAAATCTCTGTGAGACCCCAAAAAAAAAGACTCATGTCATTTCTTGTTTTTGTTTTTTCATTGTGCTTATGTTTTTGATTTTTTAAAAATATATTAAAAGCTAAAAAAAAAAAAAAAAGGGGGGGGTTGTAGAACTCGAAAAGATCTAAAACCCCATTTTTTTTATTTTTTTTTTTCGATTATGTTTAGCCCAGAAAAATTCAAAAAAATTATCGCGGACCCCGTTAATTCACGTCCAACGAGCATTTGAACGGGAGTTTAACGCGAATTCAATGCGCGTTGAATTTTTCAACATGGAACCCACGTTGAATTGAAAATCGGACACACAGCTGAACCAAACTTGAAACTGCCCGACTCCAGGTCCTTCTTCACCGGGGCTGGATACTCCCCCCAAGTCTTCCACAACTTGCCCAGATTGTTCCCTGACTTCCACGTGTGCCGCTGTAGGTCCACGAGCAGGGCCACCCTCAAATTCCCCATCACCGTGCTCCTAATCCCTTGCACTGTCACCCCGTTTCCCTGGCGGATACGTTCGTTTCAAAGTGTCCAGGATGGCCCAAATTGCACCGCTGCCCTAACCGCTCTTGTGTCGCAAGGAGTTTCCACTTATCCCCTCTATCCACCCCGCCATCAACGTCCCCAACAGGATCTTGGCGTCCTCCTCCTCAGTCGCACTCCTTGTTGAGGGCTCGTCCATCGTTAATGCCCACCATCTCCAAACATCAGCCACCACCGTGCAGCTTACGAATATGTGCGGGATGGACTCCACCTGCTCAC